GAGTCCCATGTCAAATTTACGACTTGTATGTATTCCTAAAATTTAGGAAGCATTACTATGCTATGGTAATGATTCCTATGGGGTATGGTATTACACACTATGGGCGATGGTACNCCTCTGACCAATCCGGATTTGATCAGGACGAATGGATCCGAACTTGATCAAGTCAACTGTATGAAAACCGGATGACCTGTCTATCTGTGTCAATAACAATTATCAATGATAATTAATCCAAAACAAAAGATAATTCAATTTTTTCACCGTAGGCCGCCTCTCTTAATGAATCTCTACTGTTATTACCTCTGAAAAAGCTTATCATTTTCTTACCGATGCTGGGGATCGAACCGGGGACCCTATGATGGTTAATCCTATACCCTAAATACTACGCTATTTTTTTTTTTAATATGTTTATTTAGCCAAATGTTTTACAAAATAATAATACTATAGTTTTTTTTATAGTCTACGGAAAAAACATGAGAAAACGTAGCTTAGATGATTAAGAAATAGTTGGAGAATACATGCGGGCTATGCTCGCTTCGCATCTCAGAATAACTATGATAATTGGATAGATAATGGCTCTTGTCTTTCTTCAATTTGTGTGTCTGTGGCATTTTTTTTTTGTTGCAAAAAAAATAGTAACCAGAAATTGGCAAGTAAAACTGGTAATAACATGGTTTAATTTGCGTCTTAAGAACTAGGCTCTTATAGGTAGGGGAGGATGGGGCAAAACGGTCCCCCTTCAATCGTCACTATTTTCCGATTCAATAATCCGATTGGGATGAGTTAGAGCTCGTTTTGAAGAATGAAAAATTATCTTCAAAATGAGATTGAAACTGGGAATTTTCACAATGTCATTCACAAGTTATTGACAATTGAAGGGGGGCCGTTTTGCCCCACCCTCCCCTAATAATAAAAACTACTACATACATTATGTACAGATAAAAGGGAGGGAAATAATTACAGGAGGAGAGAGATAGATAAGCTGTCTTGGTGGGAGTCAGGTAACCACCAGTAAAGTTTGTGAAATATTCTATAATCATAGTTTTTATCTCTATCTGATAGACTAGTATCACATGTTATGAGATTCTTGTCAGTTACACAGTCTATGTTTTCTTTGTATGTAATTCTAGTTGGCTGATTATCCCTTTTGGCATGATAAATAATTGGAATATTGTTTGAGTTTTGAATTAGGTTTTTTTTGTCTAAATAAACAAAGGCTTCAGGGGGAATAAAACCTGAGGTTAGAGTTTTTGCTAGATAATTGTCTTCAGTATAGAAGGGAGCTCCAATTAAATTGTTTATATAAATGTATTTTGAAGACTTATAGATGTGATTCCTAATGAGTTGGAGTATGAAGCAGTCTATTCTGTGAACATTAGCTTCCTTGTAAATCTTATGATTACTATAAAATTTTTGATAGATTGAGGGGTTCGGAATTTGCCTAGACTTGTTCTCAGGCACTTTCTTTCGAAGGCTCGCAGTAGTTCCATTTGTCTGTTATTTATTGTAAACCATATTGGACACCCATATGTGAGTATGGGCCTGACTAGTGCTTGGTTGCATATTATTTTAATTCTTACATGTAAATGTTTGTTCTTAAATAGTTTCAAGCAAGCTCTAAAGGCATTGTTCGCTTTGTTTAGTTGAGTTTGAACATAGCTTCTGAAGTTTAGTTTGTTGTCGAAGTAAATACCTAAATATCTTACAACATTTTTATGTGAAATGTCAATATCAGATCCATCTTTTTTTCCATTAAGTTTGAAATTTTTCCTGTTTTTACACATATCAGTACAAGCTGGACTCTATTAGTTCTATTTAGCTCTATTAGGGGTAAACAGAATTGTTTCATATTTGCTGGGGTTTATTTTAAGTTTCCAATTGACGTAATCGTTAATTTTGTTGTCGATGGCTTGTAAATTTTGTTGAACTTCTGTTACTGTTTTATTTGAGTAATATATGAGTAGGTCATCGGCAAATGCCAGTGCTTTTTTATCTGGAGCATTGTTCAGATCAAAAAGATTCAATAAATCACGAGTGTATAAATTAAATAATATTGGTGAATTGACGGTTCCTTGTTGAAGGCCGTTCTTGACCAGGAAGCTCTTGTTGGAGTTTATTGACCCATTTGTTACGATGAAGTTTTTGTCATGTATCATATTGAAGATTATTTTTAGAAGATGACTGGGAAAACTCATTTTTATTATTATTAGTAATTTATAAATAAGGCCACCTAACCAAATGGTGTCGAAGGCCTTTTATAAGAACCACTACGCTATCACGCTATTACTATTGAGTAAATTGTACATTACCTATATGATTTGTATCGGGGTAATCGCTGAATTTACGATTATTCCTGATCTGGCAGATGTGGGCGTGTATTCTCAGAGATAAAATATGTTCAATTAAATTTTTATTTATTTTATTAATGAATAATAATAATGATAATAAATAATAACTCTAATAAATGAATAGACATTCGATGATTTTTTTTCTCAAGATCATTTGCGTGTAAGTTTGATACTCCTCTAATACGTATTTACGACATCATCATCCCTCCCTTCTGTGCATTTGAGAAGGGCTGGCTGTTAATTAAATTGATTAATTTAATTTAATTTATTAAATTAAATTGATTTAATTTATTTTAATTATAGTATAATGATCCTTTTTAAAGATTGAAAATAATTATTGATAATGGTTGATAAAGCTTAATTATAATAGTATAATGATAGTTAATTTAATTATCTGAAAAACTTATTAAAATTAATGTCAGGTGGACCGAATCTGAATCTGATCATTTTCTCTTCATCATTTTCTTCATTTTCTTTTCTTTGATCATTGACCCCGTTCAAATGCCGATCAAAGACATCAAATTCGAATATGATGTAATTGGGGTCAGGCAGCCGACCTCAGGGTGAGATCGTGCCTACCTGATCAGAACTTGATCTGAACCCGCCTGTAGTTTTTCGGATCCGATCTGCTGGATCAGAACTTGGTCAGGTTCTCATCAGGAATCACCGGATCAGTCGAACCTTACAAAAACCTGATCAAGTTCTGATCGAACTTCAGGTGGGCCTGAAGCAATTTCCACTCGGGTCATTGATGAAAATCTTTGTAATTGAATTTCGAACTAATTTCGAAGGGAAAAATTAAAATTCGCATAACCACCAATTTTTGTCCAATCCCCCAGAATAGTGCGAAATCTTTCATTAAAAGGGAAGATCTGGCCTGAAATTTTTTACAGGCAGAATGATCAAGTCAATTTTTATATCACAATGCCATAGTATAATTCATTTTTACACATTTTAATTACAAGTACATTATCTATATCTAATAATTTTAGGGTTGCATTATTCTCATATATGAACATAAGTATTCTAGGATATAAAGCTCGATATTTATATTTTACACACTCCATCAGAGAGTCTCCTTTGTATAATTAAATCATAATTTTAATCAAATAATTACTTAGTTCTTTCTCTCCGATTTTTTTAGCGAAAGCTCAAAATGTTTTCTTTCTTCATTCTTCCGCGTCCATATTCAGGGACAAATTACAAAGTTTCATCCATAGCTCATTACTGACTGAATGATTGAATTCGAACAAAACAACAATTATTCAACAATATCACATATGCTTGAATGGTTGTTCACAAAATTCAAATGAAAGTCGATATGAAGACGATGAAAAAAATGACAGAAAAATTCACGATTCAGAATTTAAGAGAGCCACTTGATTCTATGTGAGATTAATGGATAATTCATCTAGAATAAATATAATTCATTTCCAGTTGAATTTATTAGGCTTTTCATGGCTGAAGCACGAATTGAAGCTCAGCTGGGCTTGGAGAATCCTTTACCTCAGGATTTACTGGTAATCACGCGAGAAACGGCACCACCAGATCCTCTTTATGCTCGACTTTGACATCATTCAACGCAATCACTGCGTTTCTGAGCATATTTGTAATCTGTGGAAATTAAATGAAAAAATTTAGGGTTAATTATTTTTCGATCCTAACGTAAAGCCTGCACTCTTCGGATATCACGGACAGTTTTATAAACAATTTTTTTTAGATTCTTAGCACGAAACGTTGAGGTGTTTCATGCGAAAAAGGTAAACAATGACATTCATCTGGAAGTCAGAATGTTTATAATCACAATTAAAATTGTCTATGAATTTTCCTTGAATTTTTTCAGGTTTCCTTTTCAAGTTATTAACGATTGAAGTCGCTTCTTACACAGAGCCTCTTATAGAATTTTTCATTTCATTTTTCAACTTCGCACGAAACTGCTGAAACGCATGAAACCATCTGAGCTGATAATATAATTTCATGCTAAACAGAAAAATCTCCATAAGAGCCCATGTCTAAGCAACAACTTCAATCGCTAATAACTTGAATTGTGATTATAAATATTCTACATGAATTCCAGATGAAGCTCATTATTTACCTTTTTCGCACGAAACACCTTAAGTGACTATATAATTTGGACAGCAGTTACCATCAAGGTAGAAAATGTCAATCCAGTTTTTTTCTAAGGTGAACCAACGACCGAAGAATCAAATTCTGACTAGCTTCATAATAATGTTCTCCAGTATGTAAGAATTCGTATCTTTCAACATAATCATTTCAACCTAGAAAAAAAAAGGATTGAAATTTTCTGCTCACATGGTAATTGCCGTCTAAGTTACGTAGCCGCTTATCCCTAGAAAACACGATTTTCTTAAGATTGTCCCTATGTTTTTCATAGATAATATTTATACTAGTCCCCAGCTATGGAAAAAAATGCTAACAAGCTGTACTACACAGTTCAGTAGATAATAAATAATGAAATCCGGGCATCTAACACGCGTGGCATAGGCCAAACAGGGGTTGTGGGTTCCCCCGAACATCATTTTTCCATCCTATGAGAAAATGGTTCTTACGATGTCAACTCTGCGATATTCAACTCTAAAAACTGGTAATTTCGGAAATCATTTCCTATTTGATTTTTAAAAAATTAACAAATGATTTCTTAATTAATTCAAACGGGTATTGTTGTCTGCATCAATAACACGTGAGGAGAGAAAAACTCAATAACTTATGAGAATGCAATAAATTAAGCCATTTAGAATTTTTTCCGGAAATTCATAGGGACTAACTTTTGGGTCTGATTGCCTTGTTGCCTTGGAATATACCTTAACCCTCTAAGGTGAAAGTCGGCCTGAGTAGTAATTTGTCCGGCGGAATGGGGACGGACAATTCGTACAGAAAGTGTGGGTGTAGTGGTGGAATCGCCCATTCACCTCAGAGGGTTAACAATCATGATATTTCAGGAAGGTTATAGTACATTAGAGTACAAGGGCACAAATTTCGTTTTCAACGAATGTGTAGTTTACAGGCCGAGCCGGAGGCGAAGTCTGTACACACATTCGTTGAAAACGAAATTTATTACCGAGTGCTCTATAATATTTTATGTCAAGTCGTGCAGAAGTCGAGTTTTGAGCAGGCTGCGCGAAGCGCAGCGTGCGATAAACTCGACTTATTGCACGGCGCGACATAAAAAAATTAAAATTTGGAAGATATCTTCTGTTAGCCTGAACGTCGACAATAAATCACAAAAAAACCGTCGAACGTGATTCGTATTAATTTACCACAAAATAAAAAGAAGGTCACAGTGTAAAACCTGACATAAATACTGTTCAAACCAGATCTCATTTCGGCGGAGACTCAATGAAAGCAAATACTGCAATTCCTTTATGTTGAGAATTATTGTTTTTTTCTGCAGTAGAAAAGTAATGGATGAATGTTTCCAAAATGTATGACTCATGCGAAAAATTTTTCTATTATTTATTGTCTATGGGAAGTACAACAAAGGATCGTTCCAAGTTTTCGATTCCCGCCCGATAATGATAACCGGTTGATCAAAGATAACTATCGAAAAATCATACATCCCGTCCTTCAATTAATGTATTAGGATTGGCAATTTTATTGCGAACGGAGAAATGGAATGTGAAGCAAGTGAGTTATTGCTTTTGTGTTCTTCAAAGAATGGCTATTTTTCTTAATAAATTTGCAACATCCTACGGAACGGATAATTTGTACATGATCTTTTAATGGTTCATAACTTCATTTGTGGACGTCCGCATGAAAAGGGACCACTTTGTCGATATGGAGTTATATATACTCTGATAATATTTATAACATTGCGCACATTTTGAGCCCAAAATGATCCTCATAGGGTCAAAAATGACGTCGCCGGAGAAAATGAAAAAAACAATTCAACCTTGATGTAAATGGGAGTTGCTGAGACAGAAACGTGAATATCTTGAAAACTAGAATCGACAAAGTGGTTCCTTTTCCTGCGGACGTCCACATATTATTGTATTTAATTGAATTATTCTTTGCTCTGTCGTGATAGATTTTCAGTCCATGTAAAGCTCTCCAATAGGGTGAACAGTCCAATTGCGGGCCCCCCCCCCCCTCATTAACGGAACACTGAAATATTTTGCCAGATTTCAGGAATATTTACCTATCTATTGAATCGATTTTTTTGATTAAGTCGATATTTCCATTTATAATATGAGAATATATTTGGTGGTCTATCTGTTGTTTTCCGCTCAATAATGGAAATAAACCCTGCCGACTGTCATTTTCAGCCACTTTGCGACAGGTGAGTTGTTAGATGTAACACTGTAACCACTAATTTGCTGAGCGAAGTTACTTGAGTTAATAATCATCAAATGTCTTAAGTCCAGACTAATATTGTTCCTAAAAGCTTTATTTTGTCATATTTTTGCATTGATTTTATCTCAAAGTTCTTATGGCTAGAAACATATGGGTGTTCCGCCATTTGGGCTGGGTTTTCATGGTATTTGATATCGGCGGAACACTGATGTTTTCGATTGGCACGTGCCGTAGTGGTTCAGTTGAAAGTATGTAAATAATTGATAAGTTGAAAATATAATGATATTTATGTTTCAATTCCTTGCTAAATTGTTCTGACCAATTCATATACAAACAAAGTCGAGTTTATGGGATCGACATTACTCATTTTTACGTTTGTTTACTAGTTCTTTGCATAATAAAATCCGCATTACAATTTCAATGTTCAATTATAATCTGAACTTGTTAACATTTTTCTGTAAAAATATCCTTATTACTTCGGGTTCCTAACCCTTCACCGTCTCATAAAGTTCTAATGTTCCGTAATTGGCCACACGAAGTTCCATATTTGGCAAAAGTGTTCCGTAATAGGTCTTTTGGATTTGAACTTAATTTTTTATTTTTCCCGATTATTTCTCATGACATAATGTTTTTTTCTTTTTTTTCTGAAATCTACTGAATTTGGAATCGACCAGTATTTTTTTTTATTTTTTCAAGAAATAGTTCATTTTCAAATTATTGTCTGAACGTCCGAAGAGCGTTAATTGTTGGATAATTAGACTGTTCACCCTACAGCGAATCAATTAAAAACGTCACATACAGACATGATTTAAAATAGCATTCTTTTTAGTAATCCCACAAAATTCAACCGTCCTAATGAAAAAAATTTAGGAACCTTAAATTTCTACAACTACGATGTTTTCATCCGTAACTAAAAATCGTATAACTCAATTTAATCGTGGAATTATCGGTTGGTTGTATCACCTCACGTTTTTTAAACGATTTATTACACGGTGCAACAAAATTTAAATGGGTTGAACCTCGAAAAGCCAACTAATACAGTCCTATAGTATTTTTGCACTGATTTCACATCCATTTGAGAAATCTCTCTACCACGTCTAGTTTTGGGAAAAAAATGTTGAAGTATCGAAAACAGGGCAAAGTGCATAATCTCAAATATTTTAAAAAGGAATTTGCGCATAATTTGGTTAAAAAAAACAATGATGTGAGAAAACTGATTTTAATAATGAACTGATCTCCTGCTCAATTCGTTGGGTATAATAGGATCCTGCAATATCGGACGGCTGTAGGACTGGGGTTTTCCATGGTTTCCGTTACATTCCTGGCCTGAATGGGGTGCAGTTGGATTTATTACGGAAAATTACGGAAGGAGAAAGTCAATTTACCAGTTCATGATCTTCAGGGGCAATAGGGTCAGCAGAAAGGATTTTTTCAGGGGCTGGAACATCCTTCAATAAGCAAGGATTCGCTTGTGGAACCTTGACACCACCTGACTCTATCCTCTTAGCATACGCCCGCGATCTGTCCATGTACTCATGTTGCTCCAAATTGTGGGAATCAAGGGCACCAACATCAATAACATTTCTGTTGACAACAATAAAAACAAAGAATCAAAAATAGATATTAGTATTATTCTTCGTGTGTCTAGAAACCGAAGAGTTTCAACAGGATTCATCGAAAAACCCCTTCCGTAGGACTTTTTTTCTTGCCAAAATTCTTTGAACCTTCACGCCAAAGATAAGGTGAACCGTCCAGCGTTAATAGCAATTTAACGCCCCGATGGACTATCTTTCGAACGTTATCTCGATTGTTGTTCCATCTTCATAATCTAAAATGTATCACGATTTCCATTGGATTTTACATCACGCAGCAGTCCCCAAAATTATTGGTGTACAATTAAAAAAAGTAGAAAAAAACTGAACATTTTCAATGAGCGTTTTTAATAAAGATTAAGAAATAAGTCCGATGGAGAGGAAATAGCGAATGGATAATTTATCATGGTAACCAACGATCTGACAGCCATTAGATACATCAAATTATCAATTTGCAATTTCCTCCCTATTGGGTTTATTCCCCAATATTATTCAAAAACACTATGAAAATGGTCATCTTTTTTTCGGCGTTTTTTTTATTGTGACACCCGGGCCTTAAGTATAGTATTTCGTAAGACTTCATGGTTTCATAGAATCATTGAATTAGAGTTGTGAACATTGCATTGGTTTTTGAAGANCAAAGTGCATAATCTCAAATATTTTAAAAAGGAATTTGCGCATAATTTGGTTAAAAAAAACAATGATGTGAGAAAACTGATTTTAATAATGAACTGATCTCCTGCTCAATTCGTTGGGTATAATAGGATCCTGCAATATCGGACGGCTGTAGGACTGGGGTTTTCCATGGTTTCCGTTACATTCCTGGCCTGAATGGGGTGCAGTTGGATTTATTACGGAAAATTACGGAAGGAGAAAGTCAATTTACCAGTTCATGATCTTCAGGGGCAATAGGGTCAGCAGAAAGGATTTTTTCAGGGGCTGGAACATCCTTCAATAAGCAAGGATTCGCTTGTGGAACCTTGACACCACCTGACTCTATCCTCTTAGCATACGCCCGCGATCTGTCCATGTACTCATGTTGCTCCAAATTGTGGGAATCAAGGGCACCAACATCAATAACATTTCTGTTGACAACAATAAAAACAAAGAATCAAAAATAGATATTAGTATTATTCTTCGTGTGTCTAGAAACCGAAGAGTTTCAACAGGATTCATCGAAAAACCCCTTCCGTAGGACTTTTTTTCTTGCCAAAATTCTTTGAACCTTCACGCCAAAGATAAGGTGAACCGTCCAGCGTTAATAGCAATTTAACGCCCCGATGGACTATCTTTCGAACGTTATCTCGATTGTTGTTCCATCTTCATAATCTAAAATGTATCACGATTTCCATTGGATTTTACATCACGCAGCAGTCCCCAAAATTATTGGTGTACAATTAAAAAAAGTAGAAAAAAACTGAACATTTTCAATGAGCGTTTTTAATAAAGATTAAGAAATAAGTCCGATGGAGAGGAAATAGCGAATGGATAATTTATCATGGTAACCAACGATCTGACAGCCATTAGATACATCAAATTATCAATTTGCAATTTCCTCCCTATTGGGTTTATTCCCCAATATTATTCAAAAACACTATGAAAATGGTCATCTTTTTTTCGGCGTTTTTTTTATTGTGACACCCGGGCCTTAAGTATAGTATTTCGTAAGACTTCATGGTTTCATAGAATCATTGAATTAGAGTTGTGAACATTGCATTGGTTTTTGAAGAGGATAACAGTTCGATTTTATTGCATTATGTATTTGTTCTGCAATAAATATGTAAATTAGTTCGATCACCGGACATATTTGAACACTGGTCGGCCTACCCTATTTTTAAAAAAAGTACTAGGAGGCTACGCCTAGTATTTTTATAAAAGCTCCCATTCGGAAGCAAAATACTCTGATGTAGTTTCGAATGAGTCCCTGTTTGTACAATTAACAATTTCTCATGAAAAAAGTTTATTGATGCTTTGCCCTAAATTGGAGAAAAAAACTCACGCTGCAGTTTCATGGAGAATCCTAGTCAGTGCACTTTGCTCATCTGTTTTCTTTGGTACTGAGCTTGCGTACTGATTTACATAATCATCACTGCACAGAAGAAACAATTTCATGAATAAAATTAGAAAATTCGTGATACATTCTTTTAATTCTGAACAAATGGGTATTCATTTTGTTGTTTTACCTATGAACTCTGGGTATATTCGTATTATTACTGACGGGATCAACCAACAGATGTGTCCTCTCATTAACCTCCGAACCCTGAAAAAATTTTATCAAGCGAAATAATGAACAACGAAGAGACCATTGAAAAAACGCCTCTAACCCTAAAAAGCAATAAATTCCACAAGTATGTACTTATCACTCAATTATAACTAAACCGGAATAATCGGTACGTAAATCCCCCTTACAACCGATTAATAATTGTTTATGCATGTATACACATTTTAACTGAGCGGATAACAACAGACTAAAAAGTATAAAATTGGAATGAAACATCACTATACCTGAGGTCCACTGTCCTTCTGGAATAAACTGCAACAGCATCCCATTTTCACCAGATCCAGCCAGATTGTTTTTTGGTGCCAAAAACCACTCTCTAATCACTGGAAAATTGATTAACTGTGTAGAACTATTTTCTACTCTGAGAACTATGATAATTCTGTGCGCATATTTCGTTGAGACTGATTTGGTGCGTTTTGATCGTTTTGATATGTTGATTTGTGGGTGAATCAGCTGTCGTAATATGTGCTGTTTTATCCTGTCGGTAAAATAACTGTTTTGAACATTGAAAATGGCAATCGTTGAGAATGGAAAACTATGTCAAGTATCATAAAAACGACGTTCAAATAAAAATGATAAAAATTATACATACACTAAACCATTATCAGCGTTCAATTTATCCTTTGTTATTGTGAGACATGATGAGGATGTAATCTAATTTTACGAAAACATTACAAGTGTTGAAATGGTGAAGAACAACAATGCCCTAACCCCTGTTTATCCCGTCTGCAGTCCACTAACCCCTGTTCGACTCGTCAGTGCTCCGATGTTGTCCCTAACCTCGAAATAATACTCCAAAATTGCGCTCGGGATCTACAAAACCACTCCAAAATGCTGCCCGGATGTTTGAAACACTTGTTGACACCTCGGGGTTTCCAAAAATTTCCTGGAGTCCATAGTTTTCCAAATATTTCAGAAGCCAATGCTAAGGAATCGTTGGGAAAACGGACTAGAGTGCAGGTTAGTGTGATCGAAAGTCGTTTAATCCAATGAATTTCACGTGTACTGAATTTAATTATGAATTCAGTGATAAATAAGTCGTAAGGCGACATATATTCATCATGAATATCTTCAGAGATAAGTGAAATAGAGCGATTTACAAGAAATGCTCTCATCGAAATTGGAGAATCTACCTTGAATTTTTAGGAATTGTCGAAAAAATAATTTTCAACAACAAGGAATTTCTTGCAGATTTTTCCAAATCCAAATGGCGTAGACAACATTCTAAGAAGTCCAAGAAGTCATTGCTAGAATTTAACTATTGTGAATTAAACATTTCCATGAAATTATCCTATAAAAAATTCTAGGGACGATTCCACATAGAATTCAGAAGAATTCTCCTCTATTCCGATGCAAAAGTTTCTGTGAATATAATCTAATACATATTTTCTATTTAAACTCCCTAAACGCGCTTTTTTCTGATACTTATTGAAGCATTCAAACCTACACATTTACTCCGATTTATAAAAATATTACATATACGGTCCATTATGTGAGCAGAGATCTCTTTCTTAAATATCTACATTGATTTGTCTCTGTCTTCAAGGCTCTAATGTTGAGTGTATTGAGAAAGACATATTTTCCTCTTTGAATTTATTGCACAATTACAATCTTTCCACCTTACATGATTCAAGTCCTTAAAACTTCTGAATTTACATTTCCTGATGGTTTATGAAGTATTTTTTATTGAAAACAAAAATTTCCCTATTCTGGAAACACTAACCGAATCGAAATAATAATAATTGAATGTCCTAGAAGATGATATGATTGTCAATATTACGGAAATGAAGAGCATATAATTTTAATTATTTTTATTTGTTGTGACTTAATCGACCCTCAATTGAAATACAATTGATTAATATTCTTGATAATTTAAGGTAATTGAGGGTGTTCACAAAGTGCTTTCGATGGTATAAGATGGGTTTCTAAGATTTTTTTAAGAACAAAAATTGATTTGGGAAGCCATGGAAGTTATGCGAAATTAACAAAATAGATATCAATTATTTTCGTAGCCATGTGTTTTTTGCTTCCGAATGAAAGCATTGGAATCGTTCACATTCAAGTTTTGGATTTTTTATGTTACATCGACCCATTATGATCCAAAAAGTCTGAAAATGCAATTTTTAGACCGTGTCGGTACGTATGTGTGTGGTCAAGTTTTTCTTCAATTACTCGCTAATGAATGGATGGAACTGAATCTTTTTTTTAAATGTAGATATTATTGAGCCCTATCGATCGCCATTCATTAAAATTTAATTCATCATATTATTTTTTTATTTTTTGAATTTTTTCGAAAATCGGTAGTCCCACGATAACTAAAAAATGTTCTGAATTGATTGAATGATGACTTAAAAAGTTTGTTTGGATGTCTCTTTGACCGAGTACGAAGATGAAGGCGATAGCATAAATAGTTATTTTGATTTATTCAACAATTTTCAAAAATTTTGTATTTTTTGACAATCAGAATTTCGGGGATATATTTGAATATCATGCTTCAAATGAATTCAATCATAGTTTCAAATGTTTATTTTAATGTCATTAAGTCGGAATTGAAAGATGATTACGATAGCTATATTGGTTGATTTGATTTTTATGATGATTGTAGAAAATTTTGAATTTTTCATGAATTTCCCTGAAAGTGAGTTTTCTGATGGTTTCTTCAAACGTGATGTTTCAAATTCATTCAAGTATGTGAAAATAATATTTTACATTAATATTTTATCGAAGGGCTGAGGGGACAGATAGAACTGTAAAAAAGACAATCGATTGTATAGAAGAAAAGGGATAATAAGAATAATGATGATGATAACATTTAACTAAGTTGAAAATCTGACAAAATTAGGTGAAAGGAAATCTAATTCAATTTAATAAAATGAAATAAACAATGAATGGTACATGATAGACAGAAATGATGTCCAAAATAACCATTCGGAAGCAAATTGCTAATTTATTAACAAAGATATCTCTACTATATACAATACAAGAGCAATTTCCCACTTATTTGTTAGTATTAGATAATAACGTTATATTCAATTTGACTTTTAATTTTAGCAAGAAACGAATGGGTACGAGAATTATTGGAATCCATTTCTCTACCTATAAAGTTTTTTCATACTTCATTTATAAACTTTTACATTTTGTTGTCGGTTTTATGTTTAGGGATGGGTCCGAGCACTTCGTAAAATGAAGGACAACATTTTTCTGGACATAAACGATGGATCCACCAATCAGCATTTACAAATCGTCATGAAGAAAGACTTGAAACCAGATAATTTGTGTTATGGAAGCAGTATCAGTATAATCGGTGAAGTAGCAAGTGCCCCAAATGGCAGAGCAGAAGTGAGAGCTGAAGAGGTTGAAGTCCTTGGTACCTGTGATCTCGATAGTTATCCATTTTTACCGAGGAAACAATATAGCCAGGAATATATTAGACAATACTTGCACTTGAGACCCAGAACACGACAATTCTCGAGTGTTCTGAGGCTAAGGGACTTGGCTACGTCAGCTGTAGGTGAGCACATGCGGAGTCGAGGTTTTGTTAATGTACACACACCAATTTTAACTTCTAACGATTGCGAGGGGGCTGGGGAGGTGTTTAACGTTGTGCCAGATAGTGTTGAGTTGATTGATAGTATGAAGAAAGAAGGAAAGAATCGGGAGGAGACGTATTTCGATGCTAAAACATTTTTGACTGTCTCAGGGCAGTTGCATTTGGAGATTACAGCAAGGTGATTTGAAGGGATTGAAAAAAGGCAAATAGTATATGTGATTAGAAGGTAACGAACTCCTTGTATCTTTGTGACATTTCGAATAGTGTTTTCGTCTCTTATTATTATTATTATTATTGTTATTAATTTTTATGAACGAAAACTCTAGCAACTGCACAATATACTAATTTAGTAATCGCAGTTGTTTGTTGCAAAAAATAAACGACTAGGCAAGAATACGATTCTCAAATTCAAGATATTTAAGGGGAGACTACTATGAGTTTTAAAAGTCGCGGGCTATTGAAGTGCGATTTCTCATGCACTGAAGATCAATTATATATGTCTAAAAACGAATAATTAGTGCAAAAAAAAATTGTTTATTGTTCGTTTGCCCCGCAGATGCTTAAAATGTTAAAAATAGTCCAGGGCCTCGAATTTTTAAGCTACAGACCCTCAAAATTAAAAAAAAAATGGGTACAATAACAATTAAGAATTGGTTTTTTGCAATTCGACCCCTACACAGCTAGTTTCGTTTTGTTCAACATAAAAATTTGGGCCATTCATGTTTTTGATATATAATTTTTTTCTTCAAAATTGTCTAAAAATGTACATAAAAACAATCATGAGTCACTGTTTCCATATACGACATCTTAATCAGTATAAATGTACAAATACTTTAATCTCGAATAGTTCCTCATGTTCAGTCAATTTTTTAATTTAAAAAAACTGCATGAGTCAAATATCGAAAAAGGGTCAAGCAATTGTTTTTCTGCGCATTTTTTCGAAAATTTTAGGGAAAAAAGTTGACCATCTCAAAATGTGAGTAGTACTACGTGGATAATGGACAATAGATAAACGATGGATTTTTTCACACGAATTATTAGTTTTTACTCATATGGAATATGGCAGAAACATAAACATTCTAACTTCAATAACTCGTGATTTTTTAAACTTATAGTACTCTCTTTTTAAAGAAGTTCGTTACCTTTTAAAATGATCTGATCGGTTTAATAATTCAAAGATGACCTCCACTAGAATGAAAACAAAAAACTGTGTAGAAATTCTTCCCCATTCTTCAACAATTCGCATTATACCGATCGGTTCTCTTCGATAAATTATATAGCAATTTAATTCACGAGATCTTCTGGTCGATTATCCTTAATTACTAATTACTGATCAATTCTTTCAGGGCTTTGTCAAGAGTATACACGTTTGGACCAACATTTAGAGCAGAAAATTCTAAGTCACGATTGCATCTTTCTGAGTTCTATATGATAGAAGCTGAAATGGCATTTGTGGATAATGTAGAAGACGTGGCTGCTGAGGCTGAGCTTCTTGTCAAGGGAGTCACTTCTACTTTGTTCGAGAGGGGTGCAGCGGATGCTCAGAACCTTGGTGCCGCTCCACCAGCGTGGTTGGATAAATCCTTCGGAGTTTTCACCTATGGTGAGGCTTTCGATATACTCGACAGGCACTCTGATAAGCTTGCAGTCGACGTGAAAAGAGGAGAAGCTCTCTCGAAGGAGCAAGAGTTGTTTCTGGTTGAATTCAACGGAGGAATTCCTGTTTTTATACTCAATTGGCCAAAGAATATTAAACCGTTTTACATGAAGGAGTGCAAGGACGATGATACCAAGGTAAAGATGATTTTTCAATTATGTAGAATTTGAAAGAAAAATGTTTCCTTTCAAGTTTACGTTTTTTTGGATTCCTTCAGGTTGCAGCAATGGATCTTCTAGCGCCACAAGTCGGTGAACTGTTTGGTGGAAGTCTTCGTGAAGACAACTACGAAAAGCTCCAAGAGAAAATTCCACCCACAGGTGATGTCTCCTGGTATTTGGACCTCAGGAAATATGGAAATGTGCCCACTGGGGGATTTGGAATGGGTTTTGAAAGATATTTACAGGCAGTACTAGGCATTGCGAATATAAAAGACGTAATACCTTTCCCCAGGTGGCCACACAATTGCAGTCTGTGAGATGAATTATCCTAGGGCATTACGTGTATGATTTAGACATCATTTTTGACGTCATTTCTTTATTCACATAACGAAGTGACGTCGTAACGTAAGAATAAATTTTGATAATTGTCTTTTGAATTTACACCGCCTTGAGGTTAACTTATTATTGGAACATTGAGGTTGACTTATTGTTGAGGCATTGAACATCAAGGTATATCCCAAGACAATACCACCCAAGAGTTAGTTCCTATGGATTTCCAGAAAAAATTCTAAATGACTCAATTTATTGAATTTCACCACACTTCTTTTTTTGTCTGCTCATCTTAATAAGTTGGACTTATTAAGAAATTCGTTTTCTAGGTATTTTTAAAAAATAACACTTCATGGTATGCTTGGAATGGTATGCTTCATATTCAATTTGCATCGAAATCGAAAAAAGCCGCTTGAAATAGTATGAAACACCCCATATACGAAATCTTAATCAGTACAAAATAGTATAATTTTTTTTGAATCTACGTTTTCGGAATTTTTCAATATAGCACGGATTCGTTTTTCAAGAATATCATAAGAACCGTTTTGCCTCACATGCTAGAAGCGCGCATTTCATTATTTACCATCTCCTAACTGTGTAGTACAGTTAGTTAGATTTTTTTTCAATAGCTGGCGAATATTATAATCATTATCTATGAAAAACATGAGGACAATCGTTAAAAAACCCCGTTTTCTAGGAATATACCTTGAGAGAGTCATCGGAATATAAGGTTCAGTAGTTGAATTTCAGAAGGAAATTATGAAAATTTTTGGTTATCGTTATTTTTACCATCGTATTTCGACCATTTATCTGGTCTAGTTCTTCTGCAAGAAGTTCAGTGATGATTTTGTTTGTTCATAATGATTAATTGAAGACCTGAGAACTCACATCGGAATGCTCAGTTTAATTGACTTTGAATGATGATTGAGAAAAATAAACACAACAGATTTGATATTAATTATTTCTCATCCGTGTATTCTCACTTTGTACAAAAAATTAAAATAATGGTTACATTATTAAATGGTCATTAATCAATATTATATAGTACAATAATTTGCTTCGCTGGGTATTTTAGTACTTTTAGTTGAATTCCACCACACTCCTTCTGTTGTCTCCTCGTCTTACTAAGTTGGACTTATTAATTGTCTTATTTACAATTGGTTCTTTCCAGCATTCACCCTATGGACTGTTCCACGTAACGTTCTACAAGGCACCCTGAAAATTAAAATTGATTATTAGCTAGGTTATTGGATCATTTCATTGTATGAATAAAAGAGGATTGTGTTAGAAGGAATTCAAATATTACGTCACACGATTAGGGGGGGGGGGGGGTTCAGTAGTTTATGACGCTCTGTTATGATAGGAGGGCAGGGGGTTCCCTAAGTTGTGATGTCGCACCATATGTTGTTCCAATTTTTAATCGAAAAAATTGAAAATACTATTTTTTCTCGTGCCCTTTTCTTTCGAAAAAAATAGTTCTTCGAATTACTCAAAGGGTTACAAAGAGGAATTTCGGAATGGCGTGATGGCAACAATTGCATGAAGATTTAATTAGTAATGATTTCTCCCACTTTTTATTCTTTCTGTTTTAAATTCAATTTTATGAAGAAGCTAAAAAATTTGCTATAACAGGGCAGCGGAGTCGTGGATCGATGTTTGTGACAACTTGTGAATAATGGGGGAAAGGGCGTCTAAAAAGTCAAAAAATGGGTTACGTAATTTTTGAATGACCCCTCAGAGTTAAAAAATAAATGAACTAAGAGTGGTATATCATAATTTCTGATTGAAAAACAAGAAGTTTTTTGAATGAAAAAATTGGAATTCATGGTAATTATAACTTCAGGATCGAAAAGAAGAAATCTGCACGGCGATTGCGACCATAGAGGATATCGCATTTTGTTATTCGTTTTTTAATGATCCCGATAACGAATAGTGTTGCAGACAATCATCGATAACTTTTTGGATAAAAAACTCTGTGATTTTTTCTAAAATTCTTTCATCATCGTTTCGATATTCCGGAATCCAGAGAACTATAGTAAAGGATAAAAACTAATGAATACTGACCTTGGAGTCGTCAAGACAAAGTGGATGATAATTCTGGTTTGCGTATCTAACCGCCGGCCTTAGGTGCCATTCCTCCTCATCTTCGTTGTAAAACTCCTCAAAGCCATCGTGACACACTACGCAATGTGGGTTTCTATCACTAGTACTTGGTACACTGGGTTGAACTGTGTTTCGTGAACAATCTTCAGCAGCTGCTGCTCGTTTTTGCTGCTCTGGTTCTTCAAACCAGCTTGGTTCTGTGAACAAAACAAACACAAAATTGTAAACAAGTGTTACATAATAATGAAACAGAGAAAGTGAGAATTTGACTCTTCATTTGCAAATCTTGAATAAAACTTCAAATTTCGAAACAATGAAAGCAATTATTTGCACAAAACCACTGAAAATTTCATGGATGAGTAGACATAATTGAACCGAAAATTTGATGGCAAATTCTTCTTTTCATTCGTGAATAACGAAGTAGTTTTGAATGAAGAAGAAAAGAGAAATTATTAATTATTTATTCATATCAAGAATTTGAAAAAACTTACTTTTGTCATCAGACGTATCAGACTGCGCCCAATCATTGACACTAAAGTACCAGGCTCTCATCGGCCGCTTCTTACGAGACTCCTTTTCCCTCCTGTTCTGCCTGAAGTGCCAGTCCAAGTGTTCACGATATTTTTTGCATTCATTACGTAAAAACCGCTCGCCACACGAGCCACATTGAGTGGGTCCAGCGTATAAAGCAGTGAAATTCGCCGGTTTTTTGAGCGTCTTGGGGTTGTCGAAAGTAATGACATCAGCCGTGGATTCCTTTTGCAGTTGCTCAAGATTTTCCGATTGAGCTGTAGATTGAGTAAGAGTGGATACAATTCCAGTGTCCACCAGCTTTTGAAAAAGCTGACTCACATCCAGACTCGGAGAAAGACTTGGCGGTGGCGACAATGAATCATCTGAAGATCCCGGTATTGTGGAACCATTTGGACTCCATTGGCCGAAAACTGCAGCTTTTGTATTTAACTCGAGATTGTAGTTCATATCAAAATAATATTCTCTGAAGTCGGATTGTGAAACGTATCCTGGTGATTGAATGATTGGAGAACCTCTGGATTGCTGCATCTTTGGGTATGAGTCCACGTCTTCATGTCTTAATAATCTGTAAAATTGAAGGAACGAAACAAAATTATAGGTATAAATCCATGTTTTTGTGACCCAAATTTTTCAGTTTTTCAAATTTGAGAATAGGTACATACCCGTCAGATTTCATTTTCTTGACGGTTCCATGTCCAGCGGATTCATCACTTCGTCTCTTATTAACCGATTGTTGGGATGAAGAATCAGACAACTTTTGTAGCGCACTTTGCTCATATGCGTTCGTAGGCAGTACTGGATGTCCTTGTCCTTCTTGGGTTGCACCTTCTGGTCGAACATGCACGGCCCTAAGAGTTTTCTCCTCTGGGTCCTGCTGCTGCTCAATATTTATTTGGGCTAGCAAGTTTTCCAATTCGGCTTTTTTCCTCTGAAGTTCCAGTATTTTCTGCTGGTATTCGACCCACGCCTTCCGTTTTCCATCCTCAAGTATAGTAACTTGTGGCTATGAAGAATACAAACGTTAATGTTGGAGTTCGATGAAATGAATTGGATAATATTGTTCTCAAGTGATAGCAAAATGAGATTAATATATTTTTATTTTTACCGTGGATGAAACTTCGGAGCAACTCATTGGTGATGGTTCACTGAGTGGCCAAGCTTGATCAATCATATGCAGTCCAAGATCGAGAAAATATAATTTTGCGGCTGGAAAAACACCATTCCACGTCTCCCTCAGTTTCCACATACGGTGCCTGGTCCGTGTATCGGCCTGTTTGGACAAAAAAAATGGTTTAAATCATCAATAGGCATAGATTTTTATTATGAAAGGAAACCCAAAAATCTTATTTTTTATAAAACCTCACACTAAATCTACCATTTCAATCGAACGAAAATAATAATATTCTGTAAATTTGATTATTCTTCATTATTCTTTCACAATTTCTTTCTTGAGTGAAAACAAATTATCGTCCCCCAGAAACCGTATTTCTTCGTTGATAGGAGGATTACTTATAGTCAAACGCGTTAATATTTAGGTCCTAGTGAAGAAATAAAATCAAATGACTGTTTAAATTACCTTTACGAAGACATTACGAAATGTCTCTGCAATGTTCTCTGCAAATCGCTTCAAGTAAATCCCCTCAAGATGCTTGACAATCGAATCGACAAGATAGAGCACTGGCAACTGCACTGCTTCTAATTTTTGCAAATGTTCCTCTATAACTTTGACAATTTCGGATGCGTATTCAACCCTCTTACTGGCTAGTATTGTCAACTTTTGTATTTGAGTCCTGGAATTGTTGGTGAGGGTTCCCAAGGCAGATCTGTAATCACTCACAATTTTTTGCATTTCTGCTGACATTCTGCTCCTTTCTTATTCGATTCGAAAATTGATTTCATATAAATTTTTCCTATGAACTCCTTTTCACTTTCCCGCCAATTTGACAATATTTGTCGCCACTGAAGTAAAGTTGAACTTGAAGCTAAACACACGCCTACTGATCGCTTAAATGATTTTATCGTCCTTACAGTACCACAGTAAAGTGTGTAATGATATTCAAAGGCTCGATACCCCTGATTTTATGCACCAGCTCCTGAATCACTTAATACAAGTAAGAAGGGTAAGTAGGAGGGAGGGGGTAGCGGGTGGCCAGTGGTAGGGGTGAGTCGAAGGTCCCACCCCCAGGTATCGAACTGGGAGTTCTGAGAATTGATTGAGACCCCAATTCTCGAAGATCGTAATAACATTAACTTTCCATAGGCTTTTCCACATGTCTTGACGTGGTGTAGTCAATTCTTATAGTTACAAATTACGACTAGTGGCGAAATTGGTATTCTTTTCAAATTATAGATGGCTTATCGGATTATAACTATTCTGATGGGAATATACGCGCAAGAGAGATCAACAAAATATTCCGTAACATAGAAATGAAAATTTTCGCTATAAAAACGTTGGATTTCAGACTTATACCTATTGCACCAAGCCCTCTTATCCAAATAATACAGACCCGAAGAATAATTTTTTATTTATCAGCCCCATGTGAATTAACATTGATTTAACCTTGAGATTAAATTTTATTTTTTGTTCCTGGGATAAATTTGAGATACTCTCCCGGGTAAAATAATCCATCAAATATCCAAATTTACTTTTTTTCTTATCTGATGTTTTCGTTATCCGGAGCTACTGGTGCAACCGGGCCATACACAATGAAAAAGTTGGCAAAAAATGATGATGAACAAGCCAGTTTCTAACTCTTTTTTACCTTATATCGAGGCAAAAAGTGGAAGACTAATAGTGAATTTTTCTCCACTGATTCGGTAATATTTAATAAATGTGAGGGTAATTTGTGTCAAAACTTTAAAATTTACCATTTCACCCAAAAAAAAATACCGATTCAAGCCGTCGGTTTGATTCTGACCGATTTTCAGTTTGATTCAGACAGACTGACTCGGCTACGCCAATCCATATTCCGGGTCTGATATAAGTCGAAAATCGGTTTATTTCAAGTAGAAACGGATTATGCCGACATCGGTTTGAATCAAACCGTTCCAGGTAATAGACAGCGACATGATTCTAGTCGATTTTTCGGTCAGATTCAGGTCGATTTTTCCGTCTGATTCAGACCGATTTTTCGGTTTCATTCTATCAAAAATTATCCCCTGAAGGTGAATAATTGCTCAATATTGCGTAATCATTCACACAGTGCGAAAATTTTTCCGTGATAAAGAATGTTTTTTTTACTAAACGCAGTATGATAAAATGTCACTTTCGTCCGTCCCTATAGGGCGAGAAAGGACATATATGTTTTTCCATCGGAGTTAGTAAAAAATACCTTACTAATGGGGAAAAATCAACTGCAGAGAGAATAGTAATTTTTGGGCCCATATAGATTTGTTTGCTTTTTCTACCAAATGAATCGTAAGATATCCTCAGTTAAATTTTTTTTTTATTGAATTACAAAATTCTCTTGCCGATTATCTTTCGTATAGTACAAATTTACCGCGATTTTCTATATGATGTTTATCCAACTTTTCTCTCAGTCTCGAGAAAAACATACCATTTTCGAAGAGCCCGAAATGTAGCGTTTTTTGTGAGAATCTATTTTACCAGTACACGGAGAAAATGTTCAGTAAAAATTACAGAACTCACAGTCCGCTCACTGATTACGGAATCGATTGGGAAAATTTAAGTGACGGTATCGTAATTTTTCACAGCCGATTCAGATAAAAATTACGGAACGCCCTGGAAAAATTCCGTGACGGTTCCGTAAAATTTCCTACAATCATATTTCCCTCCGGAATTACAGAAAAGATACGTAATTTTTATTGAATATTTCTCCCCGTGTAACTATAGAAGATCGGATTAGGTAATATCCAAAGATCCTGAGAAACATGCATGTTTAACATTGAACTACACGGAGAGAAATGTTCAGTAAAAATTACGGAACTCACAATTCACTCACCGATTATGGAATCGACTCAGAAAATTTAAGTGACGGTATCGTAATTTTTCCCAAGAGATTCAGATAAAAATTACGAAACGCTCTGGAAAAATTTCGTGACAGTTCCGTAAAATTTCCTACAACCACATTTCGCTCCGGAATTACGGAAAAGATACGTAATTTTTATTGAATATTTCTCTCCATGCAGAAAAATGTAGGATCTCGAAACAAAAAATTTCCGGTGCATACGCATTTGCTAATGCGTCGGGCTAAAAAGCTGAGCTTTACTCTTTCGAAAATACCAGCAGAAACATTTGCTTTTTTCACTTCTCGACTCAATACAGAACGTTTGACTTGACCGCAATGGGCCACACCCGCTTCAGCCCATCCGCACAAAGTGAGCGATCAAATTCTGATTTTTTTTGGCATTGAGAAAATTAGGACTTTCGATGATTTTTTTTTATAGAATGAAAAAGAAACTTCTGCAAAATAAATTTTAGATAGTATATTTCTTCACGGCCTGCATCCATTTTGATAATCAACAGTTATTGCGAATATTAGTCCAATTCCAATCTTTTCGTATTGAATCCTCATTCCCATTATATTTCACTGCACTCCTCTCTTCAGACTCATTCCTAGAAATATATTCATTGTACTTTTCTTTCAAACAAAAGAAAAACTTGTTCCAATACCTTTTATTACTTGCAATACCTCTTATAGCTTCTTTGCTGTTGCCACCATTATTTCGGTTGATCCTTTCGAGGCATGCGACTCCTCAGGTACACGCCGACTCACCCTCAGCCCCCCACTACTTCTACCTCGCTTCCTATGGCGCGACTGCCCCCATAGTTTTACATTCCGCTCCTCCCATTTTCTGTACGTTCTCATTAAAAATATTACGAAAGTGTCCAAACAGTTCCGTTTCCGATGTCAAAGAAGAAACAACTCTCAAAAAATTCAAATATTTCTGAGAAAATAAATTTTCACTGTTCAATTAATTTCTCCTCTGATTGATCAAAAGAATTAGTGAAGGTTTAATCACTGAAGTTCAACTTCGAAAACTGTCTTAATTGCAGACTTCACGAATTACGGAGCGTTAACTGGTTGAATTTCATAAAAGTGATTTTGTGATCTATATATCAAGCGTATAAGACTCTATATTAACCATGAATCCAAAGTTCGTAGTAATTCGAATTGGAGTGTCAGAAGCTTATTCAATTTTTGCGGGGTTTTTGTTGAACCTCTGTGAGCAAGTGGTCTACATTTTCCTGTCGTTTTCATTATTCTTCCTGGCATCGTTTTGTTCACCGAACTTCTCAGGTAAATCAAACCCGAGAGAGAGAAGAGTAAAAAGCTTACTAGTTGACACTTACATTGTAAGAAGGAAGCTGATTCGAACGGAACAACAATTGAAACTGGCTCAAAAAGAGTTGAAACGTGAGGGTGAAATGCTCTTCAGCAGGACAAATCGGCTGTATATCTGTGGAGCCGAAATGCAGGATGGTGCGGAAAAGGGGCGTGCTAATACATGCGACAACATTGAGGATTGTGGAATGAAGGGGGATGGAGAAATCACACGAGGAAATTCGATGGAAGATTAGATGGTTGTAAAGCAGAATGACGCGGAGGCGGAGTCGGGTGCGATAGAGGGACGTCTTTCAGGTAAATCATCGGCTGGTGGCGGCTTAGTGGCGCTGCAGCAGACAACAGACTTGGGTCGAGAATTTAGTCGGAAGGAAGGGGTTGTATCAACGCCTCCTGCTGGACGGCTTTTGGTGACCTAGATTGTCTAGAGATTAACTGTCTCGATTGCAGACTTCCGCAAAAGTTAAACTCCATAAAAGTGATCCTGTAAATATTTAAGGCGTACAAGACTATCAACCATGAACCCAAAATCCGTTATAACTCGAATTGGAGTGAAAGAAACTTATTCAATTTTTGCAGGATTTTTGTTGAACTTCTGAGAGCAAATTAGAGGCGTAGAAAATTGGCAGTGTCTATTCACACGGTCCACGGTAAATTTTACCGTGGATATAGGGTATATTTTACCGTGGATATACGGTAATTTCTACCGTGGATATAAGGCTAGCAGTGGGGTACGTTAGGCCCATTTTTTACCGTGGATAAAAGGTAATTCTTACCGTGGATATAAGGTAAAGCAGTGGTGTGCATCGGGCCCATATTTACCGCGTGGATATAGGGAAGATTTTCACCGTGGATATAAAGTAATTTTTTTTTACCGTGCATATGAGGTGAGTGAATGGCGTGCAGTGTTTCCACTTTTTACCGTGGAAGATGGTTTTAAAGATGACAAATGCCTCTAAAGATGATGTCTGTTTTCAACTGAAAAGCGCAATTGTGACAACATTGTCCAGTGGGGTCTAGGAGTCTCCCCTGGTTCAAAACCATCTTTAGAGGCATCAGCACACCATTTTTCGAGCCGCTCTTTCATTTGAGCCCAAAAAACATTCATATCTTGTCTGACATCTCTGCTACAAACTCTGGTCATCAACTCTGGTTTTAATTGAAAATAACTCTGGTCTTCAACTCTGGTTTTAATTGGACGATGTTGTCACAATTGCGCTTTTCAGTTGAAAACAGACATCATCTTTAGAGACATTTGTCATCTTTAAAGACTTCTGCACGCCATTTTTCGAGCCGCTCTTTCATTTGAGCCCAAAAAAACATTGGCAGTGTCCATTCACATGGTCCACGGTAAATCTTACCGTCGATATAGGGTATATTTTATAGGGTTTATTTTATTAAAAATCTACGTCAACAAATGCCAAGAAAAATATGAAAAAATTCAAGATTGATCTCAATGACTCAAGTTTGGGGTAAAGCTAACGAGCTTGATCAAAAATTTTCCAGTCAGATTATATATTGAAAAAACAGCAATTTTTTTAGTTTATCAACAAAT